ACTGCAACTTATTGTGAATCATTGAACCCACACTGTCTCTGTTTGTCTCACTGACGCCTGGTTTCTCGGGACCATTGGTGCGGATCAGCTGAAAGAGCTTGCGGTAATTGCCTAATGCTCCAACCTCCTCCATTTTTTGAGCCCTACTGGTCTACCAGGCTTTCTTGTCAGCGCGCAGGCTCCGCTTTGTTCGTTCCTAGCAGTCCGTCTGATCACATTGTGCTCAGATCTGGTCGGGATGTTTCTTCTGGATTCCAACAGGTGCACCGACCTCTCGGATATCGAGTGACTGTTGTAGTGCCGATTGTTTGAACCACAAGCAGATGCTTCTGCGTGGTACATGGTGGCCGAGATCCTATTCCACTGAAGCTCAGTGTCATTAGGACAAGGCAGCGTAAGTTCGGTACGCACTTCATCCTGGTTGGCTTGCCTGACTGTGGTCCTATATAATTTCTCGGTTACCATTCGGAGGAGACTCTTGGTACGCCTCCCGGTATACTTCATCAAAAAGCGACGGCGTACCAAGACATGATCAGAGTCGACGCAAGTATCTCAGAACAAGCGACAAACCAGCATGGAACCACGCCACCGTTAACTTATGGCAACGTTATCCATTTGGGTCCATCACTGGCCAGCTACAGGAGGATGCCAAGTAGCACTTCGGTGCCTTCTGTGTCTGAAAGCAGTGCGAGTAAGAAACAGCTGGTGCTCTACACACACTTCTAACAAACGCTCGCCGTTGTTCGCGCGGTCGAAGTTAAGCTCATAATTACCACCCAACAGAGCTACTGTAGAGGTCGGACGCCCTACTTGTACATTCATATCGCGTGCAAGCGCTATGTTCCCTGAACTGGTAACGCAGCGTAGTAGCGTGTTCAGTTCGTGGCAGAATGTGTTCTTGGCAGCATCAGAACTGCAGTCCGTGAGAGCATAAGCGGAAGCCAAAAACAAACAGCGTCTTCTAATACTTGGTGAATTAACCTTAGTTGATGTCGTCAAACGGACTGCACACAAACGGCTGTGCACCGAAATCCAATCAATTAACATTGACTCAGACTTGGCGCTGATAACAATACCCACTCCAGCTCGACCAGTGGTTACCGCATCAGCGATTCCGGATGCGCGCAACCTATAACGAGAGGACAAGCCGGGCGCAGTTAATTTGACAACCCAGTGAGGGTTATTGATCCTAGTTTCGGACACACAACGCACATCAATACCCATTGTATCCACTGTGTGAGTGCAGTCTGTTGACTTATTTGTCTGAGTTCGAACGTTGAACGCCACCAGAGAAACCGGACAGCGTGGCTGTAGAAGGGCCTATTACCTATGAACGTCTAGTGGGTGGTGTGAAAAGATTGCTGCATTTGGTTCGACCCATTGGCATTATGACTGCTATGAAGTAAGCTGGGATTTATAGAAGGAAGGTTAGTAATGGGGGCTGGGTTGGGAGTAAGAGAAACATGTGGAAGAGATAGAAGGAAGGCGTCAGCAGTTGCATGTTTGCGCTTATATGCCCTCATGTATGCAGTAGATAAGTCAACGTTTGATAACCTGCGCGGCGTCTGATGCATGATGTGGTTGAAGATGGAAGAAATAGTGACGATTGCACTTAGGCTGAGATACTGCCAGGGCACCCAGACCTAGACAGGAAGACGACTGCGTTCCTCAATCAAATCGTTAGGTTCCGAACCCTGTCGGGAAGGCAGCGGGGTGGTGTCAATGATTTAGTTTCACAGTGATGGATGTCATCCCATTCCAAACCCAGCCTGGTGGATCAGGAGACTGTGTTTGTTTGACCTCTATCCATTGACCAACCTTGTAGGAGTATCTCCCAAAGGGTCGGGGACTCCACCGGGTAAAGCTCATTGGGTCGACAAGGTGCGCAAATCATCATAACAAGTTAAGGTCCAGTCTCACTGCGATGATCCACGTAAAGCGTAGACAAAACTTAATGGCTGGATGCGAAAGAAAGGAAAAAAGCAAACATCACAAGCTGCACATTGCAAACGGCGAGTGATAAAATCGTCACAAATGTATACTATGGACTGAAGTATTAAGTGAAAGGTTTGTAGCTGCAAACCAAAGACATCCAGTGGATGCTTGAACTTTGGATGAAATCACCTCTTCGTGCAGGTCATTGCAAGCAGCAACTACTGAGTGTGATATCCGACTGCCAGTCCCAACCCGACCAGATCGACACCCGTGCAGTGTCCTTGGGTAAACATGGATGCTGGTGATCTAGTTGAGTGGACAAAATAGGATAAATTCGGGTCAGTTTGACCCTTCAGGATGCTATAGGTGAGGATCAGGTCCAATCTATGACGTCGATGGTGTGCTGGAAAAACGCCTTCTTTAAGCCGTCGCCCTGAATAAGCAATGCGCCTACACCATACACCACCTTACTGCAGGCCCTCATGACGCGGTGCACTGTCATCTTGTCCCAGGTTAAGCAAGGAGCACAAACTTGCACGCGGTGTTCAATGGCTGTATACAGCGTACGAGGGATTCCGAATGAGCAGCGAATCATCCACCGCATCCTGAATCCCTTGCAAGTGACTTTTGTCCAGTTTTCCCTCGATTTGCGATTCGATGCCAGCGTGAGCCCCACATCCAACTGCTCAGCCACACGCGACACCTCGTTTTCGCCTAAAAAGTAACTCGTAAGTGGACCTCCATCCCAAATGCGGAATGTCGAATATAAAGAGATTAATTGGCAGTTGCCACGAAACGGACCAGTCCCAGAGCCTGTGATGTGTAGACAACAAATAGCGCGGCATGGGCGCTTGACGATCAGTGTGCACGTAAACCTCGATGTCGCCACGATCCAAGCAGGTGTTGGTTAGCTTCGTACCAGTTAGTCGGGGGTTAGACAGGCACTTAGACTCTTCATTAGGCATGTGGCCCAAAGTTAGATTTGATGCGCACTTGTGTGAGAAATGATTTACACAAAATGCTCGAGGTCAATTTATGAACGTGGGTCTGTGATGACATATTTCAAGAGGTAAACACCGATACGCTGGTTCACTGAGGGGCGGGACGAAATTGCACACACACAGGCAGAGAACTTGCTGTATCGCCAAACGTCTGCTGACCCGTTAATTGCAGCGCCTGTGGTTACATTGCAAAACCCCGCCACATATTATTTGAACAAACAACCGGTCGGTGAGTATTGCACAGTAAACCTTTGCATGGCCAACTTATAGCGATTAAATTAACACGGACTGTTATGGCCCCATTTGTCAACATGCAACTTACCGAGGTCTAGTTCCATAGGATTTACGTGGTGAACGTTCAGACTGTCACAAAAAGGCCAAAAGATAGTCAATTTAGTAGGTGCTACTGTAGTATGCACTGTGCTGCCGAGATTTCAAACTTCTTCAACTCGTGCTCTTTCGCATCAACCATGACCCGAGCCCCATCTTCTGGCCACGTTGAGCTCTACGTATCCAGACGCAGCGCTCTCGTGGCATGACTATGAGCCATTGGTTGGCAAAACGTTGGCGTTTTCCATCGCCCAACATCCGACACTGTCATACTGGTGGCGTTGCGATATTTTCTGATGATCCACTCATATACTGTGTTACGTATCCAGCATCACGGATCCAACTTCACGGAAACGGATTAAGCTCACTGTGACACTTGATTGCATATGCTTTTACAGCTATACTCCCTTGCCTAGCGCTTTCTAAGGACTGCTCTGGGGAACCTATCATAAACTATGCTGTGGCCACTCGGTCATTTGTGCTGGACGATACTTCCAGGCTGTGCAGGCCGAATGCATTCCGCAGTTACGTGAATTAAGCGTTACTTCGCGTCGCACTATCCGATACTACCAGTTTAAAAGTGTGGCTGTTTCTCGTTGATACTTCATTGCGGCTTTCAGATGTGGTGCTTTGAGAATCTCAAGGGAATCTTTGTATTTCCTGCAGTCATTGAGCGATGGGCTGATGGAGTCTGGTGAAAAGCGGTTTCTAGATGTTGCCCCTTGGGCGACATAATAAAATTTCTTAGCCATACAAAACCGGAATACCACAATTAGCTACATATTCCCATCGGGTGCCACTTCCCCCTGCAAATTTCCCGGAGCATCCATCCGGACGTGCAGGACTCGTCTATTTTAATCCTTTATCATTCGTGTCTCCTCATCTTTTGCAGGCCGATCCGGAGAAAGGTATTTCACTCCGATTCCCTCGTTTCTTGCGTGTTCGTGAGGATAAAAAGCCGGAACACGCCACATCCGCTGAGCAGGTCAGTTTGGCTTCACGACCGTTCACCCGATTTGTTGTCCATTTTAGGTTTACGAAATGTACAAAAGTCAGGAGCAGATCAAAAATCGCGAAGCAGGCAGCACAGCCCCTACTGGCGAAGACGACGAGTTGTACTGATTACCGTGCTTCGTGTAACTGTATCCCCTTCGTATATGTCAATTCCCTGTCCCGCTGAATTCGTGCACCCGCACACAGATTTGTCAAAATTTTGTGAATCAGAGAGAGATATACAGTATATGCATTTACTCACAAAGTACTGGCGTGTTATCCTGCAAGTGAAGGAGGGAGAAGTAAGACAGTGGGTTATATAAAGATATATACAACCTTCTACAGATAGGCATGGAGCCAACAAAAGCCATAAAAATACCACCAAGTACAGTTATCATATGAAAGAGAACCCAACACATTGTACATCGATCCAGGATTTATTCCTAGTGGTTGCTACTACCCTGTTGCCCAAGCCGAGATAAGCTTTTAAGATTAGAAGACACCACCCCGAGCATTTGGCTTAATAGCCTGTCCACAAGGCAGCGGAGCGAATTTAGGGAATCGCGCCCCTTGAGCGCGGATGACCAACAGTTTAGTTCATACGCCTTTCGTTTGGGGATTTACCAAACAAGGGCCCGATCCTCCCCAGGATTTCGGCAGCAAACCGCTGAAGTTCCATGTTGTACCAGTATGAAGTAAAGGACAGTGACTTTATTTAGTGACGAGTTACATCCGCCTCGTCGCCATGTTCTCAAACGGAAATTTGGAATTTGTTATAGGGAGAGCGCTTGCCAGGCGAAAACCCACCACGTCCTGGAACACTGCCATCTAATCATTCACTGGAACAGGTAGATTACGAACGATCCAGCTGGCAGCACGGGGAGCCTGTTCGGCAAGATAGCCAGAAATAATTGTGTAAGACGTGGTAGGAATTGCATGAGCTGAGCGCAGCCGGTGATGAAGCGTCGATTGTAGTTGACTAGACCACAAATGCAACGTAGGTGCTTAAATGAAGTCGGGGCGGGGAAGTCTTTGATGGATTGGACCTTGTCCGCAAGGATCTCGAAACCAGACGATGCGATGAGTTTGCTTAGGAATCCTACCGCGGACTTGCCAAGTTCGCACTTAATCGGATCGACGGTGACGCCATGTTGGGTCAGCCGTTGAATGAGTAATTGAAGATGAGCGAGGTGCTCTTCGTCGGATGAACTGGCTACAAGAATATCATCGAGGTATGGGTAAGCGAATCTAGGTCACGAGTGCCGTCTTGGATGAAGCGTTGAGAAGTCTGTGCGACGTTGCACAGTCACAAAAGTATTCGTAAAAGTTCGAACAAGTCGAAGGTAGTGATGACTGCTGTTTTAGGTATGTCGGCTTCCTCGGCAGGTATCTGGTGATACGCGCGAACATGATCGATCTTACTGAAGACCGTATTACCTGTAAGGCATGCAGTAAGGCCCTGCATGTGCGGGATAGGGTTCCTACCGGGGACCATAAGTTTATTTAGTGCCCAGTCGTCACCGCAAGGACGTCAGTCCCCAGATTTCTTTGAGACCAACTGTAGTGGAGAGGACCAGGGATTATCTGAAGGATGGATTACTTCAAGTTCGAGCACGTGCTCAAGCTCCGCTTGAGCCTCCCCGGCGAAAGTCGGTGAGGACGCGAAGAGACGTGTGGGCCGTTAGTTCGCATATGGCGCATGAGAGAAATGTTCGGCGTAATCGGCAGAGGTCTGTGGTCGAACCTAGACTGGGATGGTGAGTAAGATGCCGGCGTTGGTGCCAGCGACACTGAGTGTCCTTGCGGGGTCGACTATCCTCATTTGTTTCGCATCGACCAAGATGTCGAACTGTTTAAGGCGTTTTATGCCGATGATGGCAAACGGAACGTCGGCAATAATGGACACCCAGCGAAATATTCTACGGAGATCTAAGTTAATGGCTAAAGAGCGTTGGCCGTAAGTAGGGATGAGTGTACCGTTGGCAGCACGAAGACTGAGAGTAGACAGCTGAGTCGCCTCCGCAGGTGTGGGAGGAACCACGCTTACTTTAGTCCCGGTATCAACCAGGAACGCGGTTCCAGGTTTGCAGTCCTGAACTTAACGGAGCCTACTGCCGGAGATGTGGTCGGTGACTTTATTAGTAGGTGATTTTCGGCTTGGGAGCTTCCGTGATTGCGTCGAGGCGAAGGTACAAGTCGTAGCGCATCGCTTCGTCTGAGGGTCAAATCGGCAGTGATACCAGCATAGTTTACTGCGTGGTAGGCTACTGAGCTTACCGACTTGCTCTTATGTACTGGTGAGTTGTCAAGTGCTGAAGGTGAATCCAGAGCGCTGCGTAATGTCGCTAGTTCATTACGTACTATGGGAAGCTCAGAGGGAGTGGCTGTATGAAGTAGATGACTGCTGGGACGTGTTAAGACTATTCAGCGTATATGTAGCGGTTGGCGTTACACATTCTGCTTACATTGAGTTGGAAGCGAGAAGTCTTTATCTCACCCGATAATGCGGATGGTCTCGAATCTCCTAGACGCAAGTCATAGAGTGGCTGTTTGATTCGCGTACTCCTTGGTTCCAGTCGTGTGACTCTCTGTTGAAGCGACTCATAAGCGAGCTCCGTATTTGTGTTGGAACTAGTATTTCCGAGCTGTAAAGTGATGCCCCTAGGAAGGCTACCTAGCAGATGCCTGCATTTAAATTAGTCGGAAGATATATTATTGTGCAAAAACCCATATTCTAACAAGCCAAAAAAGGAGGAGCATCAATTAACGTAGGCGGAACAGACAGCGACGCAACACTAATAGATTGTTTGAAAATGTTAGTGTGTCTGAGTGAGCTATAGAATATCACAAAATAATAGTTTGCTAAAATGCAATTCAGTATAGCAAAGGGACGAGTTTAGCAAAAATTATTTCGTCAGTGACAGTGGTAGATGGTGGTGCTATATCCCAGTTAGTTTGCAGATTATTTAGCACAGCCAACGTCCCCCATGGCCTAGTTGCTTAAGCTGCTGGCTAGTTGGGAGCTGCCTCTAACGGTCATGGGTTCGATCCTCCTTAGAGGACCGAGGGAATGCGCGCCACTGACGAGCCCCAATAGGGCGAAACGCGTCTGGCGCTTTTCCGGACTAGGCTCTGCTATGAAGCTTGTGAACTATTGGGATGAAAGACTTATCAGAATTACAACTAAAATCCTGCTACTCGTGAGTAATAGAAAATGATTTCGGCGACGGCGGAACCGTGCTTTCAGTCAGGGTGGTCAATTGTGCGATGCTACTCGTGCTAATCGCAATAGGTGGCACGTAAGAGGCGTGCGGAGTACGGAAGTAGGGAGAACTGTTGGATCGTATGGACCTAACGCGCGTTGAGGAAAACTACAACGAATGGAGGGCAGGTAAGCAGAAGCAAACACCAGTATGCGGTGTGACTAACCAGAGGAGCAAATGATCAGTATATGCCAGCATTCAACCAAATGGACGATCGGAAGATGGAAACAAGAATAAATTATAATGTCTCGGAATACTGAAAGCGCGAGTGATACAAGTTCCCTACAAAAGACTGTGCATCCACTGTATCGCAATGAATAACTGGTATTTTCCCGAAAGTGCAGTGTATGAGTTCCAACCTATGCTCTCCGCCAAGCGAGTTTATGACAACGCACAAATTTGTATGCAGCGATCGTAATGACAGGGACCCAAGGTTTAACGCTTTGCACCTATCTGTCTGAAGGAGCGGTTGAATAACCAAATATGCGATCCGTGAAGGCGCGTCGGACATTTTCATTGGCTCGCAGCTCACACAGGTTACTGCACGTAACACAGCAATATTCAAACAAAACTCTGATACTGATTTTGAAAGCCATTTGGTCTGGTTTCTTCCAAGTTAGCATGTGGCATATGAGTCTGACTGATGGCTTAGCTTTTTCACGATATGATTTGTATGTTCGCTAAAGTTTAGCGAAGTAGAGTATCTCAAATCTAAATCACGAACAGACTGGCTGATGGGAATGACATCGTCATGAAGCCTGAACAATTCTGCTCCTGATATTCATATGCCAGAATACTACATTTTCATGTTGCAAACCTCATCTGCCACGTATCGGCTCATTTCTCAATGGGTTTCAAGTCGTTTTGGATATTGCCAAGTTCCGCGGTGTGTTGAGAAACTGGGAGCGTATAAACAACATTTAGCTCCTCAGCAAACAAATAGGCCTTGCCAAATTGTGTAACAGACACAGGGTAAATTATGTACAGTAGGAAGGGTAACGGACCTAAACCACTGCCCTGTGCCACTCACTGGTGATCACAAGCGGCGTAGATGATACCATTGATATTGTAGGTCTAGTAAATACTAGTCCGAGATGGTGCGCGAAAGTAAGCGCGGATATCAGAAGGCAATTGGAGTCGGACACATCGGACTGTATTCGATGGGCTACAAGAAGACGCGGACGGATGAAGCGAGACAAGAGCGAGCACGTGAGCGCGGGAACTTACAAGGCGGTCGAGTGTCGAGCCGGTTGTAAGGAAGATTAAAACAAGAAGGAATAATGTACAATCGGTCAACAATTAAATTGTACATGAAAGATAGCAGTTATGTTTTGGGCGCTGCAGAGCTCCCCTACTAGAAGGCTGAACATAGAAAGCCTTCGATTTCGAAAAGGACTGTTGAATCGAGGTTCGTCATGCAAAATTGTGCCGAGTAAAACTGAGCGAGCGTTCATGTCAAATGAGGGTTCGCCGGAAGTCGGAGTCCGCTGTGCCGTTTGTGATTTGTTATTTATTGATTGCAGGGCAGGGTGCATTTCGGCGAACCGTTGGAGCTGGCTTGTCGGACTACAAAAAACTGGCTAGCCCAGAGAAAGGCCGACAAGACCTCAACCTCCGCTGCTGCCAAACGGTGCGCTTAGCAATGGTCTCTCCCTCCGCCGCACCCCGACCCGCGTCAAAACGACCCACGTCCGACGGAGAAACGATCATCGTCCCACGAACCAACGACCGTCGTCCCACGGAGAAGCGACACATCCCGCGGAGAAGGGACACTCGTCCCTCAGAGAAACGATTAACGTTCGCGTCAGGGTCCTCGGAAACATTCCTCGTGTGGGCCAGTCGATCGAAGGGGAGGGTTTGGGGCAT